CCCATCCAGAGGTCAGAGGAGAGTGTCCTCATTTGCTGCCTCTTAAATACATCTGATCCTGCCTTAATTCCTTCTAAAACCTTCCCTGAGAGCTTTCAGGTGGCTGCTGGGGAGAGGTGCCCATGAGCTGGGGTGGCAGGCCAGCCAGGCACGGGTGACAGCCCGGGGCTGAGCAGTGCCTCCAGAGGGATGTGAAGGGCTGTGGGCGCTGGTGGTGATGGAGGAAGCGCCATGTGCACCACCATCCTGATCCTGGGTCCACTGGTCCTCCTGCTGCGGCGCCGCTTCTGCAACAAAGTCGAACCGTACGTCCTCTCCTGTCCCCTCCCGTCCCCTCAGGGCTCTGGGGCTGGGGATGGAAGGGTGAGGGGGGGCCTGGGGTGGAGGATCTCACTCCTCAACCTGTGGAGATATTTGGGTTCCTTCTGGTTTTGGTTCTCTGGAGGACACAAGGAGACATTCGCTTAAGCTGGGTAGAGAGGAGCCTTCTGTGATGTGCTGTCACCTCCTCTCCAATGCACCAGCGCTGGTAAGGAGGAAATGCAGGACTGGTCCTCCCTTTTGTCTGGTGCCAAGGGGCAGGGATAAACCACAGGGATGCTTTTACGTGCACTGATCGAGGCGTTTCCCAGATGGAGCAGCCCTGCAGCCTGGCTGCCTGACTGTCCTCATGCCTCGGCTTGGGAGGAGATTGAGCAGCGACATCAGCTGTGGGGACATCACCAGCCTGACACTCAACAGTTGTTAAACAGCCCTGAGGAGGTCCCACTCCATCCTCGCAGGTCTGGGAGGTTGGGTGAGTGTCTGGCTGTGTGGAATGCTTGAGAGCACCGGCTAAATGTCGGCTCTGAGGAAAGGCAGCAGCCAGCACCCCTCACCCTGTTGCGCTGTGCTCACACACGCTCACACTCATCCTGGCTCCACGGCCAAGGCAGGGAGCAGATGGGAAGGGACTTGCTGCAGTCCCACACCGAGGCAATGACAAAGCTGCGACAGGAGGGCAGGGTCACCTCCTGCTCGGTGCATCCCCGCTGCGCCACGGGCACGGTGCCGGCGGCTGCGGCTTCCGCTACCTGCAGCTCCCCACGTCTTTGGAGGGCGACTTGTCCCTGTTCAGCCTGGCCCGGCTTCAGCTCGGTGGCAGCAGGGCGAGCCCGAGCATTGCCCTCGCCCCCTGTGCCTGCTCCAGTGCCAGGCTCGGCTCGGAGACACACAAATCTATTTACCACCGGAGACTGGAGACATCTGAAAGAGGGGAAGTCAATGAGCCGATTAGGTCAGGAGAGAGAGAAACAAGCCTCAAAGCTTGTATAGGGAAGGGAAGGCATCTCCCGGCCTCTGTGCCCCCGGGTTTCCCTGTGCTACCTGCAGCACTGGCTGAATGAAACACTCATTAAGTGTCTGAGCAAATGAGCTGCAGAGGTGGGAGCTGTCGCTGGGCAGAGGGTACGGAGATGGCTGGCAAGGCTGGCAGGTTGCAGGTCCGTCCCTTGGGAAGCTGCAGGAGGAATGGGCAGGTACATGGCTGGGGGACAAGTCACCTGGGATGATGGCAGCAGAGCTGGCGGTGTGCAGACAGCCCAGTGCCCCAGCCCTGGGCAGCAGATCCAGCTGCAGCACAAGCCCTGCCCTGGGGAGCAGTGTGCAGGGTCAGCTCCTGAGGAGCAAGCAGTGAATAAAGCACAAATCTGTGCAGGAGGAGATAGGAAGGAGCCTGGAGCTGAAAAAGCTGGGGCTGGGACAGGCATGGCCCTGCCCTAGCTACTTCCAGTCAAGGCAGGATCAACACTCCTTCCACCACATTTAAACTGTGGGCCTGTGACCTGGTCAGTCCTTTCACCCAACTGGCTTCATCACCACCACTGCCATCATCATCATCATCATCATCATCATCAGCAGCAGCAGCAGCAGCAGCAGCAGCACAGGGAGAGAATGTGCCTGGTGCCAGCACCAGCAGCAAAAGCTGGAATGACACAAGGGCTCCCATCACGGCATGGACATGGGAGCATGAGGGAGACTCAGAGCTGATGGCCAGGAAAAACTTCCTCCAAGCCCTGCTGCAGTCTTCAGACAGGCACCTGGTCTGGATGCAGCTCATAGAAAAGCTGTACCCTCCTAGATTAATTCTTTTGGTGATTAATTGCTCTCACCATTAAAGACCAGTGGCTATTAGCAGCTTTTCTACTTGATCTATTTTGGACATTCATCTACTCGCCTTGCTTGGTGTTGGCATAAATCAGAGCTGCTCCACTGACAGCTTTACACCAAGAGAGATTCTGTTTCCAGACTTTCATGTCCTGGAAAAGAAAAGCAGCAGAAGCAAGGGAAAAATGTGCTGCTGGGCAGGGCCTGGGGAGAAGTGGTGCAGGAGACCAAGGTACAGTGGACCTCATGAAGGGCAGGCAGCATCCTCAAGACCAGGAGCAGACCTGAGGCACCAGAGCCCCAGTACTGTGTTGATCCAACTGGATTTTGGCCAACTAGATGACCTGGCTTAGGCTGCACAGGCACCAGGACCCCATACAGCAACAAAGACCAGGATTTTCCATATGTGCACTGTTCTGGATGATTGCTGGATTAAAGACATCTCTGAGAAACAGCACATGTGAAGAAGAAGTAAGGAGCCCACATGTTCCATGGGATAAACCTGGCTCGGTGAAGGATCAACCCTCTGCCTCTGACGTCCCCGTGTGCGAAGCAGGGCGTGCACCCTGAGCAAAGGACACAAATGAACAGCACAGGCAAGATCAGATTATGTGAAATCCCCTGCTCACTTGACCTCCTTCACGTCCCTGTCTTCTATTTATATACCTTGGGGCTGCCAGGAATGGCACAGGTTGTCCTTGGCCCACGCTCACAGAGCTGGGGGGCTCAGCCATGGGGTTAGTGTTGGCCACTGGAGCTGGCTGCCACCACCTCAAATGGAGAGGCTTGAAGGAATTCCTCCCAGCACCCCAGCTCTGGGGTCTGCTATCCCCACCCCTTGCTGGATTTGAAAAGCAAACGGGAACACTATCCTGGACTAACCTGCTCTCAGGAGACAAGAAGGTCAAGAGGGACTCCTTGTGCTTGGATTTCCTCACAAGCAGTGATTTATTCTTTGTTTTGTGTGATATTTAAGGAGAAGATCTTGGCGGGGGGCCAGGGCTGGCTATGGATGTCTGCTCTGTTTGCCTTTCTCATGTTCTCTCCCTCCAGTCTCTTCCTGGCAGGAGCTTCTCACCGCCTGCTCCTGGGTTTGGGGAGGTGGAGATGCTGCTGGAACACGGGGTTTGGTCTTGGTGCTGGTGCAGTGTGGGGCAATGCAGGGGACTGAGCACCCAAGGGAGCACAGGAGCACCCAAAGGGGTACAGGTCATGCAAAGGAGCCAGCTGGAGAGAGCCAGGTCTGTGACATGTCCTCCATGGAGAACTCTTGGAGAGGTCTCAGGCTTGGTGGGGCGTGCTGGACTATGGCAAAACAAAGGAGGTGCTTTGGGAAGTGAAACATGGGTTTGCCTTACTGCTGGTTTTTGAGACCCCTCCCAAAAGGCTGGACATGAATCACCTGGGCCCCAGAGGGGTTGTTTTCCTGGCACTGGGAGCCAGGGCCATGGAGAGAGGGAGTGTTTAGCCCCTGTGCTGATCTGCCCCCAGAACACTCCTCGTTGTATCCCACACACTGTGCTGCAAGACAAGAGCAGACCCTGTGTGCTTCAGGCTGGGGAAAGCAGGGCTGGTAGCCTGGCATCATCTAGATGAACCTTCCAGCTTATTTCCCTCTGGGAAGCAGGACATGACCTCCTCATTTCCACTGGCCAGGCACGGCTGGCAGCCAGCAGTGGTGGCACACAGCTCTGCTTCTCCAGGCTGGAGCAATCAGAGCGCAGCAGGCAGGCACAGACAAGTGTCAGCCAAATTTCTGTACACTTTAAATACATTAAGCAAGGCCACAAACACAGCCCCAAAGTGCTGCAGGCACAGGCGAGCCAATAAATAACCCTCAAACCCACCAGCAAGGGAACACCCCTCTTCTTTCCACAGCAGATAGGGCTCAGCATTGCTTTCCCCCAGATCTGCACAGCAGCTGAGCAGAGCCACTCTCTCCCTGGCTGTTTTCAATCCAGTACCAGAAGGGTCAATTCTGTGCCACTTCTGCGGAGTCATTATCCTGTCGGTTATATAAATGTCTGGGCATGCACAAAAGGCAGTGCTGATACAGTGGCTCTGACACCAACTCTCTCCAACACCTGCTTTTCAGCTGGGGAGAGAGCTGAGCACAAGAACATCTCGAGAGCTGTCACACAGAAGGCTGCTGTCTTTCAAGCTGAATGGAGGTCTAAATAGCTCTCACTTCTGCTTTAGAATCTCATTTCTAAATGCAATTAATACTGGCACATGCATAATGAGAGACTGACGAGTGAATACAGACTCCAGCAATAAAGAAGCCAGCCCCAAGTGCTATGTAAATATTACAAATCCTCACAGGGAGCTGACCTGGGGAAGACAGCTCTCTGATGATTAAACCCCAGTGACAATACGACTGCATTCCTACATCTGTCACAATACTACCTGCTGATACATAATGAGCCACGCTAAAAGAACTTGCTCTTGCTGCTCTTCAGTGCAGATAAAATGTCTATTTGTAGAATGTAATTAATCTCTTCTTCAAAATCAGGAACCTTAGTGTCCTTGGTAACAACATGCCAGTGACTCAGAGAGTGTCTCTGGCTTTTCCTTCTGATTTTGGAGCGACTTACTGAAAGTGACCCCAAATTCTAGCACTGCAAAGGAGCACAAGTGGAAAAACCAACAGTATCTGGAGGTAGGGATGGGTTTTACCCACCTTTCTGGTCTCTGCAGGGCTGCTTTGGGAGCTTAAGGAGGTCCTGGACTTGTTTCAGCCAAGTTCTCTATGATGAGACAAGGTCTGTCCCAAGATCTGGTCCCCAACCCATTAAGAATGAATTCCCTTTTACCATGGGGTATAACTGGGCAGATAATAAACTGTCAGAAGAGCAGGGGCACAATCACAGGATGAAGCTCTCCCTCTTTTGCCTGGTTTCCCCAGCAGTAAGTGCTGTGTGCTTTGTGTGTGTGTGTGTGTCCATGCCTGCTCCTCTGATGGCTTTCAAGCCTGCTGCCTTATTTCAGCCAAGTTTGGCAGGGGATGGAAGTTCAAAAACACCCATTCCCCACCACGTAGCAAACATGCAAAGCCATGAGCACCAACGTGGCAGAGGGATGCAGGGAAGTGCTGCTGGCAGATTCCCTGGTCCCTCTGAGGGTTGTGCTGGGGCATGGCCTGCTCCTCCAGCCCACCCCAGGCTGGATGAGATTTGTGCTAAAAAGACAAAGTTGCTCCAAAGCAGCCAGGGGCCATATCTGCTTTCTATGAATTTCAGTGGGAAGAACCAGGGCTGGAAGTTGCTCACTGACCCAGTTCCAAAGCCCAGGGGAAGCATGGGCCGTGATACGGGGACAGCTGCGTGGAGAGTGGGTGATGGAAGACTTGCATGATTTATTTATTTCCTGGGAAATAAAAAGGAAGAAGAAAAGAATGGTTGGATAAAATCAGCATATTCCAGGCTAAATTGTGCTGCAGCAATTCCATGTGGGGCTGGAGCTGAGCTGCTTGGTCCCCTGTAAGGGAGATTCATCCCTGCTGTTGCATGATGCAGAGCTGGGGGGGTGTGGGGAAAATGAGGGTTTGCTGTTACTGAGGGCTCTGCTCTTCAGTGCAAAAATGCCCTTTACTGGGGCAAGTTATCACTTCCCTTCAGACAGGGGCTTCAATCAGCACCACTGGCCACAGCTGACCCCATCTCCTCTGTCCCCAGGCACTCCGAGGGAGAGGAGGAGATGAGGAGGGAGGCTGGCTCTGACCCTCACGGCTCCTAACAGCGCTCCCGAGCACAGGCCAGGTGGGATGCAGCAGCTTTCTGGGATGATGCAACTCTGAGGAAACTGGGGGAAGGACATGCAAAAAGCCTGGGTTTCACTTTCAAGTATTTTAATGGTGATTTTTTTTATGTTTCACTGGGATTTATTGGGTTTTTTTTCTGACTATTGGTGAGGCTGTGAAGTCTCAAGAAAAGTGTCTTGCTCTGGAGAAAGGAAATTAAACCTGGAATGGCTGGATTGGAAGGGAAAACCCCATTTTTGCATTACTTTTAATAGCATTTCAGTTCCCTGGTGAGGGCACACACAGACATTTCTCTCTGGCTGCCTGCATGCCAGGAGCATCTCATAGGGACAGAAAAAGCAGGAGAGCCAGGCTGATCCAGCTGGGGTGGGCTGCAAGGGGTGGGTGCAGGTTGCCCAGAGAGGATGTGGATGTCACAGCCCTGCAAGTGTTGGTGGATGGGTTGGATGGGGCTTTGAGGAATCTGCTCTAGTAGGAGAGGGTTGGAACAAGATGATCTTTAAGGTCCCTTCCAAACTCAGCCACACTGTGATTCTATGTGGGATTTGGGACTGATGTGGCTTTGTGTCCTGTGTCACTGAGACCCCAGGGCTCAAGGGCTGGCCCTGGGGTGTCCATGTGCAGCTGCCAGCAAAGGCTGGGTCACTCACACACCACTGCCTTGGCTGTGGGAGGGAATCCTTGCATCAAGGGTGAGGGGACACTGGATTGGGCTATGGGGAGAAACTGGGGCCAGAGCTGTCTTTCCTAATCCCCCCTGGGCACTGCTGAATGCCCAGGGCAGCTCACAGACTCACTATGCCCTGCAGGCAGCTCCCCCAAGGCTTCTAACCTGAGCTCTCAACAAACAATGAACCACAATTCACTAATTAACTACAATTCCTTCTCATCCTGCAGCTCCCCTGCGCTCTGCAGCCAGCACCGAGCACATCCCAGCCTCGGCACCTGCTGAAACCCTCAGAAAACAACCTGTGACAGCAACAAACCCACATCACCCAGCTGTCCTCCCACAGCTCAGGAAGGGCCAGGCTCTGAGCTAAATGCTGGGCCAGGAAGGAAATTTGCCTGTCTGAAGCTGAGCCCTGGGTCGTGGCCAGCAGCCCCAGCTGCAGGCACAGAGCAATTGGGGATCCTGCTCCCAGCCATGGGGCTCTCGTGTGCTCTGCAGCTTTCCCATGGATATAAATCCATTAATAAGAGATCAGTGTGCACACAGCTCACTGAAGATGACAGCATTAGAGGCACATTGGCTTCTCCTAAGCACTGGTCTCGTGCTGGGTTTATTTGGTCCATTTGTGGCAGGGGAAGAGTTGCTTTCGGCATTCAGAGATGACTTGTGTCTGGGAGAAGTAGCAGGGTGAGTTATATTTTTGGCTCTATTTAGCCACAAAAATTTGGGTTTAGAATAAAGACAAATATTCCTGTTTGCTGCCAAACTGAGGCAGACGATTTCTTGTGCAAGCCTTCGTTTGTTTGAGGACTTGGTGTCCTGCTGTAAAAATAAATGCTCTGATGGGAAAAGTCTATCAGGGTGTGCTGATCAGTGATTGGGAGCAGTGGGCTCGCAAACATCCGCTTCAACCTAGCTGGAAAAGCAGCTCCCAAAGCTTTTGCAAATAGATATTAGACAGAAGGAGACAGGTCTTTGGTTTTTTGGTGGGTGAAGCAGTGACAAGTTGAATCATGGGCACAGTTGTGCTGGCCTCACCATGGCTGGCATGAATTTTCAGTGCAAATACATCCAGTGTGCACCCAAACCAGGCTGGTTGCTCCTTTTGAGAGTCAGCCACCTCTGACAGCCACAGCAATGGGGGAAGGAGAGAGGCTGATGGTGGGGAAGAAGTCTGGGATGTGTGTCCTGCCCAGGATGTTCTGGTTGATGCCAGCACCCTCTCCCCATCCTGCAGCTGCAGGGTCCCCCCCTGCCTCAGAGGTAAGGCCAGACACACTGACAAGAGCTCCCAGCAGCTTGGTTCTCCATACTGAGAATTTCACAAATGTCTATAGTGTTTTCCTAATAGATTTTTCCCCCTGTAAGGTTATAAATTAAGCTTCTTCAACCTCAAATCACGTTAAAAATTTTTGTTTCTTCTTTTTGGCAAAAGAAGTATTATGATAAGGAGGAATCAAATTGGTTTTACCTGAAGCTACCTTCATTTTGTAGCAGATTAAAAGTAAGATACAGAGTCAATAATGCCAGGAAGGGGGGTCAGGGGATGAATACAATGCTGTGCTGAAGGCAGCACAGAAAAGATTGGAATCTGAAAAGACAAAAGCTTACCAGGATTGAACCTCAAAGGCAGAATCAGCTCTTCTGGTGATATGAATCACCTGGATTCCCCTGACATGCTGGTATTGCTGTAGAATGGCTTTTATGTATTGATTTAAGGGAAAATAAAGGTCAAGGGCTTAGCTACAGAGGTGCTGTTCAGTCTGGGTGGGCAGAAATGAGAAACAAGGAGGATCTGCAAGGTCAGAAACAGGATGGAGAGGAGCCCCAAGAACGATGGGTACATGCTGGGGCTATGAGACCCCCAAGGGCTGGATCAGAGCCTCTCTGAGGGGAGCCCACTGGAGCCCTGATCTGCAGGGTCAGCCCAGCCACAGTCATTCTGGGTTTAGTGAAAATCCAGATTTCAGTCTGGACCTTTCCATCAATAACTCTGACCTCTCCCCCCATCTCGACTAGCACTCAAAAACTCCCAGAAAGGACAAAATGGGGTAAGATGGGAATGGTGCCTGCAAATGTCACAGGGCTGCTGGGACAGGGTCGCTGCCCTGCAAACCTGGGTGTGCAGACAGCGCTTGCTAAATCAGCTGCAGGGCAGTGCTGTAGATTTGGGGGATAAAGGTTTCCTGAGCCATGGAAAGGCCAGCTCTCCTCCTGGGGACCTCCAAGAGGGTGGATTTCATGAGAAATGTTCTTTATTTACTCAGCCAGCCACAGCCAGCAGTGAGCTCAGAGCGGATGAGTGCCTGTAGCCAGCGGCTGCACAAGGTTTGCTGGCCATGGCGAGCTGTTTGTTGTTTGCACCGAGATTTGGGGTGGTCCCGGAAGGCCTTCGGTGGGTGGGAGTGGGAATTCACTGAGTTCGTTCATTGTGTCCTCTCTGCTGGCCAAAACCACCCTCCACTTCATGAGAAACACAGAAGGGGTGGTGGCAGCCCTCACAAGGTGTCAGCAGTGTTTTGCCAAGGCATGCTGATGGACATGGTCCCCTCATCGCGGTCCCACTGTTGTGACCCCACCGAGGAGAAGCTGCTTGTTTGAGGAGGAAGGAAGGATTGTGACATCTCTGCTCTTCTTCTTTCCATCTCTGTCCCCACTAAAAAACAGTTTGGGAAAAACTAAAAGGGGAAATGAAACATTGAGTGGACTACTCCAGCTGCGGGGTGGAGGTGGTGTGGGAGCAGCAGTCCCACATGGGCTGGAGGAGGGGGTGAAGCTGTGGGGCCTTGCTGGGCCCCACTCCCTGGGGTTTATCAGACTGTCTGTTTTCATCATTTCTCTCTGAGAAGGGAAGTGGACCACACAGCAGCAGAAAGTCCTGGAAATCTGTGAGGGAGACTGTTCCCATCACTCTTCCCTCTGCTATTGCCTCTGTATACAGTCAGCTATGGAGGATGTATGGCTCTGTATTGCTCCAACTCAGTGAGATAATGCCTCAGAATTCAATTCCTTCCCAATTAAATTCCCAATCACAGCCAGCATGTGCACTTTCATAGCTCTGACCCTCTTGTCTCAGTTGCACACGTGGTCTCTCTGACAAACCAAGCAGACCAGGACTGGAGTCACCTCATCTCAGCTACCCTGTCTGCTCCATCCCATCCACATCAGACCCTGCTCTCTCTCCTCTGCTCCCACTCCTGAGGCATCCTAATGCTGTGTGTGGCCTACAACTTTTCTTTTTCT